TAGAAGCAGACACAACTCGTACTAGTTCTGCAGTGTCTCTGGCATGCACCACACAGAAAGCTTGGCTCTGCATGACACACATGCTCCCCATGTGTACAAATTTGCTGATTTGTTTTTTTTTTTAAAAAACCTATTTTGGATGCAAGTGAATATGTTTCCAGGGAAAACTATTTTGGTCACTTAAATAGAGACCTCCTTTGAAAGGCAGGATGGCAGGCAACTCATTCTGACCCATCTCAGTCCTGTAAATCACTGCATCACTTAGCCAGATTCAAATGAACTAAAATATTGGGTGATATCCAGACTTTGCTGAAGCTGATGGCAGCTCTCCCACTGGCTTCACTGGGGGTAGGATTTTATCTACCATGCTGCTAAATCACCAGAATAGCTTTTATCAATGAGATCTGTCTAGTCTTGGCTGAAATGTGCCTAACTGATTTTTAGAGATGATGCTGGACAGTTAATTTAAAAGAAGAGAGTAACAGGCAGTATGATCAAACACACTGCTCTGCCTGCACCAAATCTGTCACTGCCCCTCTGCCATCAGAGATGACCCTGCACTCAGGCACACCACATAACTGCACATGCAGTGTTTATTTAACTGTGCTCTATCAAAATGGTCTGATTTAGCTTAAAACTGCTTTTTGGTTAATTTTTTTTTTAATATCAGATTGTTTCAGATGGGTGGCTAGAGAAGCAGCTCTGTGGTTATTCTACAAGGTTGGAGAGGAGCTGTTTTCTCAGTCTCTCAGCTGCAGCAAAACAGCATGTCTGACTAAAGACTTATATCTATGAGCAGTGGTGTCATTGATTAACTCTGTGTGTGGGTATAACTCAGGCCCATTTAATATAAGCACTTGCTCAGGAAAAGCACATCCATAAAACTATCTAAGATCAGTTAATGTGGTGCTTATATTCAAACATCTGCTTTAGTCTTTGTTAATTTTTATGTCTAGATGAGATTCAAGACTACTGAACCTGACTAGACCAGGCAACTTAAAGGTTAGCTAAAGAACTCCTTGTAACTTGTTTAATCACATGTTTATATGCTGGGATACTGACCATGTCTGCATATAGCCTTGAAGTCTCACCTAAAGTTGGGCCCCTGGGCACATCTGGGATATAAATGTAGCAACGAGGTCCCATTTCACTTGTAAGGGCTACTGAATAAGAAGGCTCAGCATTTGCACTCCACCTTACATCTTCAGAGTATTTCACAGATACATGAGACTGAGGTCACTTATACATTAGGTAGCAAGGGTTTTGATGAACTGCTCCTTCAGCCATTCCTCTCCACCTCCCTTGATCAAACAATGGCTTTGGCTTCCTCCAAATGATCCTTTGGATTGGTTAGGCTCTTGGTTGGCTCTGCTGTTAAGTGTCTCCATGGAATGGATGTTACTTTTAACAATGTCTCGTAACTGTCTTTAAAGAGGTTTATGGCTCAGCCTTATTCTCTGTGAGATTGACTGTTCTCTGCTGATCTCCCGTAGAAACATTGTTATTGGTTCACACAGTATTTCAGTTCTCCTCCAGCTCTAGAGTCAAGTTAATTGGACACAATTGACCTATGTTAGGGAATTACTATTAGATGAGTAATATTAACCAAAGGAAATAAGATCTTTCTGTACCTCAGAATATGCCGGAAGTTGTGGGGAGCAGCAGGAAATGGCAGCTCAAGAAGTGTGCAGACCGGGCGCTAGGAACAGGGTTAACTTAGGGAATGGGCATGTGCTTTGTAATAACCGAGGTTTGTAAACCAATAGCTCTTTCTAAAGGAGAGCTAGATGGGGTAAAAACATACTTGAGTGTCTATAAGAGGCAAAAGTGTAAGAAAGAAGAGAAACAGATTGTGGCAGACCTGTAAGAGTGCTATTTTTGATCGCCCCCCCCCCCCTTTTTTTTTTTTTTTAAACAAACACTGTACTGTCGTATAGCTACCAAAACCTGATTAAAGTAGTCAAGGAATAAATAGAGCAGGATTCCATCAGAATGCATTTGTGTTTCCAAGTGGAAACTGTATGCTGAAGGCAGGTCCAGTACACTGAAAAAACGCTGAACGATTAATGGACATGAGACTAGTCCACAAGACAAATACGAGCCCCGTAACATCACCAAGCAGCTCAAGACACAAAAACACTGGAATTGTTTTTGCAGAGCAGTTTTATGCAGAGCAGCTGAAACCTTGCTGCTAAATCCTGGAACTTTTGGGTGCTGCTTCCCTATTTACTTTTACATACCAACCCACTGGATGGGGTAAATCCTGGAAAAAGTTACCTGTATCATAAACCCAGCCTATATTCCTCAGTACAAGGCTTTACAGTATTGCCATATTAAAATTGTCAGTCTCAAAACTTCTTCAGCTAAAGTAAACTTCCTGAGAAAACTATAGGTGTCAGCACTCAGTTTAAAAATGTGTAAGTATGTGCTTAACTCTACTGAGACGTGAAGTTTCACCGAGATCAGCAGCACTGCTTAAGTAAAGTTACATTTGGAGGAGTGTCTTGAAGGTCAGGCCTCAAGTACAAAAGTACTTCGGATACATACTGGCTGCTGGATAATACCAGCAGCAGGCACCTGGATTGCAGTACCAGTGACATGATGTGATTTGCTATAGCAAATAATTGTAATTCTATCTCATGGAAGACTGCGTTCTCTCTCTTGAACCTTATGTATTCAGACAGGGAAAAAAGCCATTGTGCCTAAACTTTAAGTATGCTTCTTATAATTACAAAGCCGGAGCCCAAGCTAGCATGCAGTCTGAATGTGTCCCCATTTTATCCTCTGTGGACCTGATTCTGCATTCAGTCTTTCAAGGTGCACCTCTGATCCCTGCTGGACTGTGCAAGGAATGATGCATTCACTATTCTGGTTTCCCCAGTGAGGAGTCCTGCCATTCAGGAACTTAGTTCTGCAGCTGGGACTGGGATCACCACTGTAAGATGGATTTTGCAATTTCTAAGACTGCAAAATCAGGCTCCTTGGGGCAAATGGACTTATTAAAGGGCAAGTGTTTATCTCTGCTCACCGGCACTCAATGAAACACTGGCCAATCTGATCCTGGAGAGTTTCCTTGATGTTGAGCCCCTCTGTTTCTCTCAGCTTGTCCTTGATTAGTATCTCCTCGTGTCTCTCCTGGACCTCACCTTGCAGAGCATTTATTTGCCCAGCATGCATATGTGAAATATTTGTTGCCTTTAAGTGAGGAGGTAGGCTCTGAAAATGACAAGAGGAGAAAACAAAAGGTATGAATTAAAAGAAACTTAATATAAACTGGAATGCCAGGTTGACAGTGAATCTGAGCTTAAGCTTAAATTATTTGCGGGAAGCCAGGAAAAAACCCTGTGCTCATAAAAAGTGCCTGGATGCACACAATGGTCTATTGTTAGTGTTTCAGCATTAATTAACAACACCGCAATGTACAAAAACAACCCTTCCAGCGTGGGATCCTGGGATCTCAATGAGACAGGTGAGAAAGCTGCTGTTCTGCAAATGCCAACTTTATCCATGTCAGAAGGGTGCCAGAGATTTTTTAATTGAATTTTCAAATGTTTGGACTTCCCATTGGTACTTTTTAATTAGCCAGTATTGTTTTTAATTTGTTCACTTAAATTTTTAAATGCACTTCTTGGTCAGTGGTTTCCTGGTATTTTGTTGCAGCTGGTCATATTCCTTTAGGAAATCAACTTCCCTTGAGGAACAACAACAGAAAAAAAAATTAAACAAACCCCCAAACACTGTAATAAAAATCATAGCTCCCCAAGTTTCCCATGATTTGATAACCTTGGCAAGAAGGGCTTCTAAGCTAGTTTGAAGTTTTGCAATAATTTCTGCTTTGTGATTGATTTTACATGTGGACTTTGAGAGAGAAAAATGAAAGTCTTTCTGGTATGCAAATACAGAAGCATGAAAAATACCATCTGTGTGGGTGGTCTGAAACTTTGCATTTTTTAGTTTGCAATGGCTGATAAAGTTAAGGTGTTCCTAGTGTTTTATGAGCTATTACTACCTTGTAAGTGCAGAAAAAAGTATATTTTAAAAATAAACTTGTAAATTAGCTTTGGTATTTTTGCAATTCTAGAACAAAATATTTTCCACCTACTTGGGAAGTAACAATCATATTGTCTGATAGCGTATGTCAAATCTAAGAATGGAAAAGAGGAGAAGATACGATAATCTGTTTTTGTAGTATGGTGTGTTTTACTCTTCAGAGTTAGTGATTATCTGACATATAGGTGGCAGCATATATGAACAAAAGCCTAGGACTTGTGGTTTGCATGAAAGAAACCTATACTATTCTGCTTTGGCCTTCCACCTTCAGAATGCATAGCAATTGTCCTTAAATCGGCACATCTCAGGCTAATTTAGTAACACATTCTCCTTGCTTTGGTGATGTATTTCCTAGTGTGCTCCAAGTCCTAATTCCAGAGGTCTCCTGTAAAGACGAAAAAGCTTCTATCAAAGCTTTGGCCAGCTTGTATTTAAGATCTGTTATTCGGTGTTTTTCCATGCTTCAGCCAGGTTCCAAAAATCACTAACAAGTGCCAAGCAAATTTGGTTTCAGAAAGTACACAGTGGGATTGCATGCTATCCAAAGCAAGCACAGAGGCCCCGTTCAGGAAAGCAATTTACTGCCTTCCCTCCATCTGTGATGTGTGACTCGCACTATGCAAAAGGAATTGGTCAAGGCCACCAGTGAGAAAATATTCAGGAGAAAACAAGAGCAGCAGCATGCTTTCAAAAGGTGGCTGCACATAGTCTCTTCCCGAATATATGACCTAAAATGTTGCCTTTCACCCTGAGATGTTACCTTCACTCACAGAATCATAGAATCGTTTAGGTTGGAAAAGACCTTTAAGATCACCAAGTTCATCCATTAACCTAACACTACCAAGACCACCACTAAACCAATTAAGGGTAGAGTAGCAATTTCATGTTTACTGGCTTGGTGGCTGGATTATTTTTTAATGAAAGTAAAAACTAGGAATCATTAAGGTTGGAAAGGACCTCTAAGATCATCAGTCCAACCATCAACCCAACACCACCATGTCCACTAAACCATGTCCCAAAGTGCCACACCTACACGTTTTTTGAACACTTCCAGGGATGGTGACTCCACCACCTCTCTGCGCAGCCTGTTCGAGTGCTTGACTACCCTTTCTGTGAAGAAATTTTTCCTAACATCCAATCTAAACCTCCCCTGGCGCAGCTTGAGCCTGTTTCCTCTCGTCCTATCACTAGTTACCTGGGAGAAGACACCAGCACCCACCTCGCTACAACCTCCTTTCAGGTAGTTGTAGAGACCGATAAGGTCTCCCCTCAGCCTCCTCTTCTGCAGACTAAACAACCTCAGTTCCCTCAGCCGCTCCTCATAAGGCCTGTGCTCCAGACCCTTCACCAGCTTTGTTGCCCTTCTCTGGACATGCTTCAGCATCTCAATGTCCTTCTTGTATTGAGGGGCCCAAAACTGGACACAGTATTTATTCAAGGTGCAGCCTCACCAGTCATCTTTCAGTTTCCATAGAAGTCAAGTGTTTCCAATCTTCACCTTCACCAGCACCTATTTTTAAGTATGGTACAGCTACTATTAACACTATTTGTATTTCACCTGGATTTCACCTTTGTCTGCCTTACTAATAATTAAATGAACCTCAGAATAGCCAGATGTGATGATGCTTTCTCAGGGCTCATTTGGAAACCAGAGGAGGACCCATGAGGCTTGCTTCCCAGACTGAGATCTAGAAACAAGATCTACTTCCCTCAGGCAGTTTCCCACTCTGCTTTTGCTTCACTACAGTAATGCTCAAGGGACTGCTTTTCTGAGAAGTTCCCAGCACAGTGCTACTGCCTAGAGGTATTGGTAGCAGGGCTGCTACTGAAGCGATTAGCCAGCTAGAGCCAACGTGACTCTTCCATGTCTTTGTATGCTGCCGTAGCACAGTCTGAACAGATGCTACATTATGCATAGAGGACAACCTACTAGATTTCCTAACTAGATGCTCACCAGGGGAAGCTAGGGAAGCACTGTTTCATTTAGAAATGTTTTCCAGTGTTTCCTGTTGAAGATACGCAAGAAGAAAAGAGATAAGGGAAAGAAATTTGGGAGCACAAGAAAGGGACTGAATGAGTATTTCCATGAGTAAAGGTGTAGTTGTGAACGCTGAAGATGTCCTGCTGGGTGAGCAGAAGGTCTCCCCTCCTGTCTCCTTTGGGAAGTGACAGAATCCATGTTCGAGCCTAGGCAACTCTGTGCAACGGGCGCAAGGATATCTCCAGCTTTAGTGAGGCTGATCTGCAGCCGATGCAAAGACTCCTATACAGGACGTATATGAACATTTAAGGGTGAAATGTTGTGAGATGGCTCACCAGATGAACAGCTTATTGGTGCTGGGAAGGGGTAGTTCCCCCTCCAACCTAACTGCTGGATGTGTGGTCCCTCCCTTCTCCTGCACAGACTCTGGCACTCATCTGACCTTGCAGTGAACCAGTTCAGCTCTCTAAGAAGTGGAAAACAATCCCTTTTATCTTTTCTCCTCCTCCCACCTCCTCAGGTTAATTGTCTCCTGGTATAATGAGGTGAGGCAGCTGAGGGCCAGAGCCATAGCAAGGGATGTGGTGGGTGAGCATGGGACCAGAACAATGTGGAGAGCTGGATGGACTGTGCAGCAGCACAGATAGGAGAGGTCCTCTTCACCATCTCTGAAACTTTCCTCTGTTCAGCTCCTCCTCTGAACTGCTTGCCACAGAGTCCTGACGGAGCCTTTTATGGCCAGCTACTTGTCACTGCAAATTTACTGTCAGTGTATCTTTCATCAGTACCAAAGCCAGATGAGCTAAGAACTGTTTGAACTGGCAAGAACATGCCCACGTAAGCAAGACCAGAAGTAGGAGATTCTTATCTCTAAGTGAATTAATACAGACCATATCTACACCTGATTCCAGAGTCACAAAGCTGATGTGGACACAGTCCAGGTAGCTCTAAACCAGCTGGCTCAGATGCTGATAGCAACAGGGCTACAGAACATGCTCTGGTCTGCAAAACCCTGCCAAGTCCTGAGTAAATATTTGTGTAGCTACCTATCTGAGCACCATATCCGTTATCAATACATGTGCTGAAACTAGTTCATGAGCTGCACTCAGAGCCCTAACACTGAAGTACAGACATAACCTTGTAGACCGGCTTATGAAAAGAAGCTCTGTTGTATTTATCCTTCATATTTTTTTTTCCAAAGGCTTTTTTACTACAATAAAGCAAAAGAAACAGGAACTGCTTCTACCAACAAGAGTCCAGTTACCCATGTTCAATAACACATTAAAGAAAGGAATGAAAGGGAAAGCTGGTAAGACTGTATGCTTATTTGACTGTCTTTTTTCCCAATCCTATTGATTTCTTGTTATTAGTATTTCCTAAATTAAGGTACGTGGAAAAGGGTTATATTTACATGGAGGAAAAGACCGTTGCTAATGTGAAATGTGCTGTTGCTTGATTACTTCCATTGCTGGGAAAGCAGAGCTGGCTCAGACCTAGATGGCCAGATAAGCTGGGGAGGAGGGTAGGTGTTGGAGAGGAGCCATCAAGATTGGATAACATAGCAGGTACAAAAAGACACTTGATCTGAGCAGGAGCCGTTGCTGCCAGGCAAGCTGATGCAAGTAGTAGGGAGATATGTTAACAACAAATGACATCCTTTGAAGTTGGCCTAGCAGTGGACAGACAGTTGCCAAACCAGGGGCTCTTCCTGTAGTGCAAAAGCTTTGGCAATAACATGCTCCAGCTCAGATGTACAAGGGAAAGCATGAAATGAAGAGCAGAGCTGGCTGTGATAAATGAGTCCTGAAGGGTTTGTGGCTGTCTAATGTGGAACATACGCAGCGCGCCCTGTTTGAGTGAAGACCAGGAGGCCAACACATGTCAGGAACTGAAGGCTGGCTTCTGTTCTGGGGGAGGAGGAGGCAGCAAGCACTGAACGGCAGTGAGGAAATCATGCCATGGTTATTTGATTTTTTTTTTTTTTTTTTTTAAAGTAAAACATGACAGGTGAAGGTACAACTGGCCTCACTTTTCATTCTGTTACTTTGAAATCAATGAAGTTATGTCAACAAAAAATGAATTGGACTTGAGGAAAATGAGGATGATGGAATATCAAAAGAACTTAAGTGTATATGGGCTAATAAGTAAAATGGAGGCTATCTTAAAAACTGCTTCCCTGGCCTGT